GCAGAGCTGGGGCTGATCCAGCAGCTCCTGCATCTGGAGGACAGAAGGTTTCCCCAGCAGCAGAACCTGTCTGAGGTATCTCCAAGCCAGGAGAAGATACTGAGAAGACTCAGGCTGCACCCAAGAAAATAATTACCTTCATTATCACTGGATTAAAGCACCTTGCTAATAATAGAAGCAATTATAAGTATGTTGCTTCTGCAAGCTTGCTGAAGAGCTCTTTATTCCTGGGAGCTTGGAGGATGGTGCATCCATCACATTCAATTTGCTACCAATTTTGGGAAAAAAGAATAGTTAGTTTGGTTATATTTAACTAATTAAGATGTATTCAAGAAGCTAAATCCCAGCATATGGCGTATGTTACTCAGTATTTAGTGTGCATAAAGAATGTTCTTCTGCAGCATCCCAGGAAAGAGAGAGCACAGGGAAAAGTAGCAGCAGCTGTTTGACATGTGGGTAGCTGGGGTTCAGTGCCTGGATTAGCAGCAAGTCACTGAAGATCTAGAATGTGGTCACAATTAAGGATTGGTGGTTGGTTTTTAATTTGTAGTCATCTGGTAGGCACAGCTGTGTTGACAAAAAGCTTCCCAAGATGCTCACTGTGAACAGGGTGTTGGGCTCTGCTCCCCAGGAACAAGGGATGGGACAAGAGGAAATGGGCTGCAGTGGTGCCAGGGGAGGCTGAGATGGGATGTTGGGCAGCATTTCTTGCTGGCCAGGGTTGTCAGGCCCTGGCCCAGGCTGCCCAGGGCAGGGCTGGAGTCCCCATCCCTGGAGGGGTTTCCAAGCCGTGTAGATGTGGTGCTGAGGGACATGGGGCAGGGCTGGCCTGGGCAGGGCTGGTTGGGCTTGGTGACCTCCAAGTCTTTTCCCCACCAAAACAACCCAATGATTGTGTGAGGCACCAGCAGCAAGACCCAGGCTTGGAGAGAGTCACCCATTTAAAGTGCAAATACATTCTGCTGATTCACAGCCACGTGAGGATGGGATGCTCTGCTGGAAGCTCTCCCAGAAGCAGTGACTGGGACATGGCACCCAAGAAAGCTGCACTAAGACTTCCAGCAATTATGGAGCTTCAAAATCCATTTGTTCACCCATCCAGGTGCTTCAACTCACACACTGCAGTGTGCAAGAAGCAGCAGAGGAAAGCAGAGAGAAAAGCAGGTGAATGTTTTCCAGCCCAGAGAACACAAGGAGGAGAGCAAAGAGCTGGAATGAGGAGTTATGACCTGAAAAGCTGAGGATGGAAGGGGGGAAGTCAAAGCCTCAATAGGCTGGTTCAGCTTCTTGCAACATTATTTCTGTCTAGGTACTTTTTCTTTATTTCTCAAACATGAAATGCCTCTTCCTAGCTTTGGTGAAGAAGGCACCAGGTAGAGCACTGAGCTAAACTTGTTCTCCAGGCCACAGCACAGCAGGGAAGAGAGTTGTTTGTCACTCTAATCCTGGAAGCAAAGCACAGCTCGTTGCACACTGAGGCTCTGCAAGGCAGTGGGAAAAATCCCTGCAACCCAGAGAGGTCCCAGAGCTGGGACAGGAGCTGCTCCATGGACCCCACAGCATCCTGAGTCCCAGCAATGGTTCCTCCATTTTAATGATTTCCTTTTGATGGGCCTAATTAAATCTGATGGGCCTAAATTAAAGCTTTTGCTTCCCTCCTGGGCTCCTCTAGCAGCTCAAAATCCAGTATTTAAAATTTCTCTTCACCTACCCCATCCGAAGCCAAAGCTGCACCTTTTACACTTGAGATGAGTCTCAGATGGGTCAGTCTGGAGTTAAAATAGCTCATTTCTCTGCTGCACCATCCCCAACACACCCTGCTGCTGCTGATCTTGTCATACCCCTCCGAGTAGCAGAAGTATCTATTCAATCTAATAATTGAACAGAATAGTCAACCTAATAATCAATAATTCAATCTAACAGCCTCATTACTCAGCCAACAGTGCTTCAAGCCTGCTGATTTATCCCTCTCCACAGGAATTCTCCAGCATTATTGATGGCCCACTGTTAATTAATTAGCCCAGCCCCACTTGCTCTGATAACAGCAAGTCTTGCCTTGGACTTGGAGGAGCAGAACCAGAAGGAAACCAGTTCACTTTGCCTCTCTGCTTGGTTAGTCCTGAGTGCCCTGCAGAGGCAGCCCCGTTCAGGGGGACTTTCCAAGCTTGAGGATTTCTTTTTTCTCATGACAAACCATAATATTTCTTATTCTGGAAGAGCCAGCCAGCTTCCTTTGATAGCCCATGAATTCTGAAACAGCACCTCACTCAGCTCCAGGCTCCCTGCAGCCTGCAAGACCATTTATATTCATTAGCTCCTTGCAAGCAGGGAGCTAAACTCACAGTGTGGTGCATTTATCTGCTCCAACTGCACAAGAAAAGCCCATCCTGACGAACACCATCTGTATCTGAACATCCTGTTGATGGCTGAAAGGTGCTGGAATAACAGACATTTGGTAGTTGGAGGAAACTAATTGATCTGTGATGCAGATTAGAGTCTGAAAACACCCTGTGTCAGATTTATTTTTAAACACGCTCTGTTTGCAGGAGGGTTGGTTGTTTTTTTTTCCCCTCTGTGCTAAGGAAACACAAGTTGTTCCAAGCAAAGAACAAGGAATTTTGAGCCTGATTTCCCTAC